TCTGTATAAAACACACACACACACATCTGAAAAAGGGGTCTCTCCCTCCTTTTGGAGCACGTTGAGGAACACCCGGGGAGACTGTTGGATAGAGCTCCAGACTTAATCCTGGCAACCACCCCAAATCACAGAAAGAAAGGTTGGGGTGGGGGTGGAGGGGGTGTTGGATAGTGAGAGACAGGCAGGAAGAGAGGAGAAAGAAGGAGAATCTAGTCAAAAATTCCCAGTGAGGGAAGTCCTTGAAATACAGCCTGCAGAAACCTGAAGTTGAAACATCAACACACCCGAGTGAAGCCGAGGGCTCCAAACACAGCCTCACCTCTAATAGTACGAGTGCTCAGCTCCTCGCAGTTGCCAGTTCAGGACCCACAGGGAAATAAGTGCTGAGCAGAATGAACTTTCTTTACCGTGCTGACAGTGAAGAGGCCCAAGTGTGTCTAAAACGCTACCTGTGTTTGTTTGTGCGTCTGTGTGTGTGTGTGCGTGTATCTATGACAGAGATAGACAAACAGACAGAGACAAACCATGACTGACTACAGCAGTCCGAGGGGACCGTGTGTTTCCTGTGCCACTGAGCAAATGACATCTTTCTGCTCCACAAACACTCGTTCACATTAGGATCTGCAGGGACCACGGGGCGCTGTGCATTAACCATGTGTGTTTGTGTGTGCGTACGAGAGATGCACAAAAAATCCAAGGAGAAATTGAGGAGGCAGTCATGTAGCAACCTCTCATGCCGTCTTTGAACTCGACTCAAGCCAAACAATTAGGCGAAAGAGAAACAACAAAAACACTTTTACACATACCTGAACAATTCTTTCTGCTCCTATACTCTTTCCCCTCCAAGCATCTAAATGAGTATGAGTGTGTGTGTGTGTGTGTGTGTGTGTGTGTGTGTGTGTGTGTGTGTGTGTGTGTGTGTGTGTGTGTGTGTGTGTGTGTGTGTGAATGTGTCTGTGTTTACAAGTCGAGGTGGACTGGCTGTGCTTACTAACACGGTGGGCTGTATTGAGAGGACGCCATCCGCGATTACGCTCACAGGGCCGAGTGGTGACAGCTTAAAGGCTCTTTTCTTTATTTCTCCACCCCCTTTCCTCACAGACACGCCTCCTTTGTGTGTGTTTGTGTGTGTGTGTGTGTGTGTGTGTGTGTGTGTGTGAGAGTGTGTGTGTGTGCGCGTGTGCGCGTGTGCGCGTGTGCGTGTGCCAGGTCTGAACTGCACAGCTAAAGGCTCCAGGTCATTTTCCATTCCAATCAGGGGTACCGGCTGCCCTGGCCACCCTACAAAATTTAAACACTCCTACCAGCTGAGGAAGGGGCACAGTGAGCATCAGCAAACACACACTTACAAATACTTAATTGCAAGCCAACGTACACTCATTACAGCTTTTGAGATTCAAGAAATATTTTTGCATGCATACACATAGACCAAAATTTAAAGCCAAGGACACTTCCATACTGTGTAAAAACAAGCCAAGCCCACACACACACACACACACACACACACACACACACACACACACACACACACACACTCTTATACATAGGGTCATGTGGGGCAGCCTTGGGCAATGGGAGGAGGAGGGGAGGAGAGCAGAGTCAGCCTTGCCCTCAGCCATGGCATCCTTTCCTTGCCAGCTCCATAAGCCTGGAGGGACTGAGGTAGAGGGGCTGAGGGGTGGGATCCATCCATTCCTCCCCCCTACAATTCACCCCTATAACTAACACACACACACACACACACACACACACACACACACACACACACACACACACACACACACACACACACACACACACACACACACACACACATATATATAGAGCCCAGGCCTCCAAGCAGACAGGCTTACAAAGGGGTGAGATCACTCCCAAATAAAGGCTTTGTTGGTGTGCCAGTGTCAGTGTTGCCCTCTCTGGCCTACCAAAAACCTTGGCAGCTAGGTTCAGCCTGTCTGTTGGAAACAACTAGGACAGCAGGGTGAATGCCTCAATGAAAAATATAGTTTCAGGAGATGTAGCAGGCACTCCGAAGAATAAAACACAGGAATATAATAAATAAAGGGAGAGAGAGAAATGGAAATGCATCTGGCCCACTGGCCTGTTTTCCTATCATGGGACGTTGCAGCGAGTCTCCCAAAATTTTAAAAGTAGTCTGATGTATGGCCGTTAGAAATGCAGCCACAAGCACAAAAGTCCCGCCTGGGTTTAGAGTGAAAACTGGAAAGAACAACAACATAAAGAAGGTTATGGTAACTAAGCATGATGTAGCCCCAAAGCTAAAACTTTCCACATTTAACTGCCTAGACTTAAAGACCTAAATAAAACAAAAAAAGGAAGAAAAAAATGCCAGGACTATCGATGGTGTCCATGGCAACCGGATGGAGATCACAGATCACTGAGAGACAATATAGCCTGGAGTCAAGAGGACCACCTCCTCACCAGCTCCCTGCTGTAGCCTTTAGACAACCCGCCATCAAGGTGTGAGGAAATAGCTAACAGTCAGGAGAGTAAGTGAGAAAAAGAAGTATAATGTACAAGCCTGCAGGTGTTTCAAATCGGGAGTATTCTCATTCCTGTTGTTCTGCTTGGTCCCTGCGAAAAGACCTGGCCTAGACAGCAGGCCAGACGTCTGCTGAGCAGACAGACATACACACACACTTACTTCTAATTTTTCAGATACAGATAGCTGCTTCTTCCTCTGACCTCTTTTAATTTGCTCTCCCTCCTGTTACTGAGGAAGAAAAAAAGAAAAAAAAAAAAGAGCGCTCTCTTGTTTCCTCTCCGGGACTAAACAATCCCAGTCTAATTTATTTTTTGAGGACAGAATATGTACATGTGTTAATGGGAAAGTCGAATCAAATTAACTATAATTAGTCAAACTGAGAAGTGAGCAGAGGCAGAGGTATGTTACATGGGAGACTTGTTCAACGCTAGCAAATGGCACCCCTCCCCATCCTGCCCAAAAAACACGCACACATTTCTTCTGCCACCTGCTGCTGCACACCCAGCGACGCCACCCTCTCCTGTGCTCCGGCACCCGTCACGCTCACTTCAACCCTCCAGAGCTCAGACTGTATGTGACACGCAAACATGCAGACACACAAACTAGTTGTGTTGTGACACATTTCCACAAAAACCTGCATGTGAATTTCGCAAGCGGAGGATCCTGACTCCTCTAATCTCGTCAAAGAGACATTAACAGACATCTTATGAGGTGATGCTGTAATCTGTTTGGACAGAATCTGCAGTGCAGGGTTGCATGAGGATTATGAAGACAAGCAGTGGTGGCAGAGGGAGAGATGGTATAGGAGATCTAAAATTCATACAGCGAAGAAGTAGACAACTGCTACGGCCTCTGGCGCCCAGTACCAATTCTGTTTGTCTTGGGTACATTGTATGTATGCAGCACATTATTCTAATGAATAATGTAGAGAACCAAAAGTAGCAATTTTAACAGATCTATCATTTGTAGCTCATCTAAAAAGCATCAGATTCTCACCAAAAGACATTTAAGACAATATTACCAATACAAATACCCTCAGATAATATGATAAATTGTACACAACCCAAAAATTTAAACATTAAAGGCGTAATCCCCCCTAACTTTTAGTATTAAATCTGGATCAATCTTTCAGTTAGGTCCTCTATGCGGGGTGAATGCCCATATCTTATATAACTCCACCCCCCCAGTTTTTAACGCAGGCTTTCTGATGAAACAGTGAAGTCCCCAAGCCCGATACGAATTAACCCTGACGACATCATCAGGGTTATTTTTTCAGACTTTGAAGATTTCCCTCCAGAGCCAGAGAAGACATTATACAACTGCTTTCACAGGCTAAACAATAATCTTTGTGACAAATAAACTCAACTTTAAAATCAGAGGAGTGCCCCTTTAAAAGCCCCACCATCAACAGGTCCCCCACACTACCAGGAGGCTAGTTAAGATAAAACTGGCCCTGCTAATAAGGTCGAAAGCAGCATTCAATCTGTCAGTAAGCTCTGCTACATTTGTTGGCTACATTAAATTGAAAGCTTGTCTTGGCTACAGCAGCAGTGACATGCACCCCACCACTGCAGTAAATCATTAGCTAAATGGTTAATTCTGCAGATTAGCTCTCTTGGCAGCCAACTGGCTAGACAAGTTAAAGGTGTTTTATTTTAACATTATATGATTCCATCAATGTGACGGGGGCCATTTGGTTTAATGAATCGTTTCAAGGAAGATGGATTACAGGAAGACATATGAAAACAGTTGAGTATATCTCATTCAATTAGGAAATATAAACATGTAACATACAGTTAGAGTAGCAATTTTTAATTGAACCTGTCTGAGTAATGGTAGCAGCAATATCAGTGTCACAATTTCAACTTTCAACAGACAGAACTAACACGAAAATAAAGAAATATCTGGTCATATTCCGAACCACATCAAAAAGCATTAGCCTAACCTTATGCACCTGAATAGACATGTGACGTGTAAATTTTCACATTAATGCTTTTAAGTCTGCTTCCCATATATCACTGTATGTGAGCAGACCACCCACAAAGACAGTTTCTCTTTTTCCATTTGCTTTTCTCTGTAAAAATGCACTAAAGAATGTAGATTGACTAAAATGTCTGCCAGTATGGTGCACTCATGTGCATCCATCCATTCATAGAATAGACTAAAAACTACATTAGAGACTATGTTAAGTACAAATTAGTTCATAGATGCAAAGTTGCAGCCATCTCTAAAGTGTGGATGTTGGAGTTCGCTACCTTGAGGGTAAACCACCACAAATATATTCTCAATGTATGAAAAACCACTCCCAGAAAAACAACAAAAAAACAACTGATGTGCTGCTTAGCAACCACTTTAAAGACCAATATTACCTTGAGTCAATTGATTCTTAATAGTGTTAGCTCCATTTTATAAAACCAATACTTTGTGTCATGCTTTACGTCAGCTCACGCTTTAAAGCACTGAGTCTCTTAGTCTATCGGTGATGTTTACCCACCTGCATGCTCCAGTAGCATTTTGGCGATGTCCATGTGTCCGTTAAGCAGGGCGTCGTGCAGTGGACTGATTCCACCCACCTGGTTATTGAGCACAGGGGCAGGCTGGTGACGTAGCAAAGCCTCCACACACGCAGTGCTGCCATGGTTGCACGCTTCATGCAGAGGCGTCCAGCCTACGTGGTCTAAATGGTCAACAAACCAAGCACACACACACACACCAACACACAAAAACAAGAACACAAACAATCCTTACTTAATAAAAAAGCTGAATAACCTGGAGAAAAATAAACTGTTACTTGATAACTTTTAAGGATATCTATTTGAAGACTTAGCTTTCTTCCAAGAAGTGCAATGTTAATTGCATAATTTTGGGCATAAAGCCGTTAAATATATATTTGTACATCTCGGGTATTGGATGCATATATGGTATTTGAATGTTTTCACTGTTTGAGTGTCATGATGAAGTATTAAAGATTTGGAGACTTGTTTTGGCATGAGTGGGCTAACCCACTTTGTGGTGGCTAAGTTGTTGGTTAACGCTGAGAGCTGATAACTCAGCTAGCAAATAAGCTAGCATTGGGGGAACTCTGTGACAAAAGTGGGTGAAACTGACGAGAGACACCTTGCAAAATGATTAAATATGACAGTGTAAGTGACGCAGGCTATACACACAACTCTATATCATTTTCACGGAACTTAAATTTATGTTTAATCTATCATTTACATTGCCATACAACAAAACACATTAACATGACTGAACTAAGGCTGATTAGCTCATTAGACGCATTTTTGTTTGGGAGTTACGAATAATGACCATACACATCCATGTATGTCTCATATAATTGCATTTCCAAGAAACATTCAAATACCTCAGTCAGCGTTGACAGCGTTCACGGTCATGGTCAATGGATGGACAAGTCCGGAAGAATTTAAAAATCGACAATTTGGAGATCATCATAATGTAGATCTGTTTTATCGGACGATAAAAAACTGCAAGCGAAAATGTTCTGCCTCAGTTAACACAGGCCTCGTTTGGGAGACAACTGCAAGGTGACAGCGGTAATTTTACCATTTTACACATAGTTCTGCCTAATCACATTTTGGACATCACTTCTTGCATAAGCCCCCTACCGAGATGCGAGTTCATTTAGGCTGCTATTAAAAGACGATTGCGAAATCGAAGGAACCTTTGAAACAGCACAACATTTCCATAAAAGGGGGGAAAGTCATTATATTTGACCTAAATGGACAAAAGAAAGTCACTCTGAAATATCAAAAGGCATTCAATTCACTTAACAAAGTCACCATAAAGCTATAAATCTGAGCCTCTAATCCATCCCGCTCTTTCTAGACACACCCTTTAAATTTTAGCTAAAGGTTAACCTCAATGATGACGCACACGCACTCCTATTTCTTCTCTCTTCTTTTTTTTCTCCAATGTTAATCGCTCTTCGAAACCCCAGAGCAAACAGTGGGAGTGAAGTGCGATGACGGTGAGACTGAGGTTACAGAGAAAAGGGAAAGCGAGAAAGTCTTACCTTTAACATTGACATCCGTGCCAGGAAGCGCCAGGATCTGAAGTACTGTTTCCACTTGGTTCCTCTTGCAAGCTCTGTGGAGGAGGGTCTCTCCTTCGACCAGGACACACAACGGACAAACACACCCAAAAGAGAGAAGAGGCGGAAGAGAAGAGAGAAATCCAAAATTAGGGTGTGCCCGATGTCCTGCCCATTGTCCCCCTCCATATGGTGAACACACCAATAAAATACCACAGAAATGTCCCCAAACACCAAAAAAAAAAAAAAGCCTGACCTAAAAAAGTACGACCCGCCAATGAGGATGCGATTTAAGAAGAGTGATGAGAAAAGGGGGAGATCTTTCAAGGGAAAAAAATGTGAGGAAAAAAAAATTAAAGATGGAGAGTTGGGCTAATTCGCCTCGCTCTTTTCCTGTTTTTTTTTTTAGACACAGAGATTTTCCACTTACACCCCGAGCCCAACAAAGTTAACATCAGGGCAGTCGGCGAGTGAATGAATGTAGTGGTGAGAAAGCAGTCTTGCTTCCTGTCCGCCTGTCCCTACATTGTTACTTGAGAGGAAGTTATGGTAGACAGCCCACGCACAAAGACTCGAAAAGGATTCTTCACAGATCCAGGGTTCAAAAGCTCCGCTGGGCATTGCCAGTGTCACCACGTGATATTTAATCAGCAAACTACCGGTGAACAGGCATGGAAAAAACCTCTCAAGGATTCCATTTACATTTTTAAACACAATTTTCTTCTCCCCTCTACCTTTTTTTTTCTCATCTTTACCCCGTCCCTCACTTTTTCCTGATACAATATTAAACCAGGAATATATTAGCGGGCCAAAGCCCCCGCTTTTCATGTATGGCTGAACTTCAGAGGGAAGTTAAAGGCCAAGCATGAGTGGCTCTGTGCTTGCCAGTATAATACAGAACTGCAAAGCCCGTAATAAATGCTTTACTAGCTCTCCCCAGGACGCCACGCCTGTACAGGGGCTCCACTCCAGCGCGCAAAGACTGGGGCAAAAAGAAGTGAAGAAGGAGAGGGGAGGGAGGAAATGGGGGGCAAGAAAGAAGGAGCGGAGGAGAGAGTGAAAGGGTTTCCTACATTTCAAAGCATATAAGAGAAATATTCAAAATGCTGGATCCTATTCATTCTGAAGAATTCCTTTCTTCCAGGAGGTGTCTTTGAGGATGCAGAAGATGCATTAAATGCCATCCAAGAGGTTGAAGAGTAGAAGAAAAAAAAGGGGGGGAAATGGAAGGACTGTGTATCAAAAGGAGAATCTTTTATGTTGTGATGTGATGCAAAACAGAATGAACTAGTTAAAGTTAAATTAGTTAAGTTAAAAGTTATGATATGCACTCATTTTCTAGCACTGATTATGTCCAGTTCGGAAACAATTATACATAACATACGCATAGTATGTTATCTTTCATTTCAAGATATTGCTGCACAAACATCTACAAAGACTCTGAATAAGATTAGATGGTTGGTATAGACCTGCCCCGGAGCATCACCGAATCTATTGAACAAAAGTTATTTAGTGTATTTTTGAGGGTTTAAGAAGTGGAATGGAATAATAGCAAAAGAGACTAGAAAGCCATTAGGTAAAAAAAAACTCACTTATTTGCTTTAAGAATTCCAAAAACCACCACTCAGAAAGCAGTGAGGATGCATTCAACAGGCTGATGAAGCAGGTACTTGTCTGCAACAAGCATTTTGCCAGGTGTAATTTCAATATGCAACTCCAAGTTCAGTTTATTGTGATTTAACAGTGACAGCACTTTATAACCCTGGAATTATTTGTTTGACAACTTAAATGCTAAAAACAAATGAATGGAATCAATCAAAAATCGACCTGCCTTGAGCAGAAAATACCATTCAGATAGCATCCAGGCTGTGTCCTTGCTGCAGCAGCCATGGGTTCGAGTCAAACCAAATCAAAAAAAGGCAAAAAGCCCCCAAAAATTATTGGAAAGAAAGAAAGAAAGCAAACACTTGGTGGTTGTACAGTATCAACATTAACAGTAACCATAATCAGGTCAATCAGTTAGGCAAACCAATATTTCATATCTTAAAATCAAAAACATCCAAACAGAGAGTGAAGCCCAGTCCAAACTACAGTCCCTAATGAGTAAGCACGTCAGTGTTCTACATGGGCTGCTCTGCTATTACCGGGCTCTAAAACGCTGTGATTAAACACCCATTCCACTGCACCCCATGTGTACACATCCTCGCAAATGCCAGGGCCAATCCACGCACTGTTAAATCACTTTAATGGCTCCAATTTGGACACAACGCCTCTATTATAGGGGTAATTGCATGCTCAGCATTTACAAGCACGGAAAGGATAAATCCGCCTGTCCTTTTCTATAAATCCCTCTTTTCACACTTTAATAGAAAAGTTAAATGTATGTGTTGCTCTTTATATCCCTCAGTCTGCTTGCTCCACTCCTGTAAAGTGTCACTTGGCCCGGCGATTCCTGGACCAATAAGCTGCTGGAAGCCTGTAACAATGCTATTTGTGAGGAATGTGTTAGAAAGGTATTCTGAGCCAGTTATTGGATATATTTAAAACTATTTGAAGACTACTGCTGTCGCTGGCTCCAAGAGCAATGACAACAAGGTAATTCCCCCAAATCAAGATTACTGCAGCTTTCACTGTGCCTCAAAAGAATTTACTGGCATTAACGTAAGTGACCATCAATTTAAAATTCCACTGGTAAAGATTTTAATGTAGGATACCTCCATTTAATCAGTCAAAAACAACACTGGGCAGCAACAGAGCCCCCCCGACGCCTTCCTCTCTGCCAACAGGAAGTAATACAACACAAACACAGAGTGTCTCTTCATAATAGTAAGCAAATCCTTAATATAAAAGCTTGATCCACAGTGGATTTCAGTTGCTTTGGACAAAGCTATTAAATGAATGAATGTAATGGAAATAAATGTGAAGTAAAAGCCAGGCTCACAAAACTTTTGCCTGCGTCATCTTTATGGCTGTGTATTGGCAGGAATCTGATGATGTGTATCATGGTACAAGGGTTATAGTTCAGTGTATTGTGATATATTGCGATACTGTCAGCAATATTACGCAATATACTGCGATATAGGAAAACTAGTATAATGAACACACCCCCATATACAAAAAATCCATTTGCGCTTACAACTGTTCATTCAACCGGCTGGGGGTTTAACCACAGAAATCAATACTGTCTTTTTGAGAATTGATTCAATATCACAAAACAAAACATTGCAATACTTAAGTATCGATATTTTCTTAAAAGCTAGTCATCTTTTTGTTATACCATGGTATGAAGATATTTCTCACCAATAGCACATAGAGGAAGGTTGTGATTGATTCAATGCAAAACACTGGTTAGAAAAACATGGATGAAGTCCACTGAGTTCATCTGCTGAGGAAGATCATGTGATGCAATCGAAAGCTCCAGGACAGCTCCTAATGGACCTTGTGGTGAGACTGTTTGTGTCTAATTTAAAATGTTGGATTACTTCACTCAACTCAGACATATGCTAATTAGAGGGGTTTTAACCCGCTATGTGTTTAATATATTTTGACAGAAATGAATGACACTTTGATCATCTATAAAAGCACCAACTTTAACAGTTAATTCTCGTTGCTGGATAAAGTCACCTGGAGTAGATTTGCATTCCTAAGAACAATGCACCGAACTATGCTGAGTGAATGTTGACTTTAAAGGTTCCTTTCAGGATGACATGAAGCTGAAAGCAAACAGATTTTAAGCAATGAAAAACACACCGCAGTTCTTGTTTGACAATCTACATACAGTATATTCAGGCTGATTTAGATTGAAATCTTTGAGCTTCCAGAAAGCAAATACAGAAACTGAAAAAGAGAAGTTCATCCCAAATCCCTCAACCTCTCTCAGCTACTTTGACAAAGATACTGAGGTTCCAGAAGGCGAGACAGCTGCTCCAAAGCAAAAAAAGTGCAGCACATAAGAAAGCGAGCTTACATATGTGGGTGAAAAAAAAGCCTGTAAGAGAAAGAGAGGAAGGGAGAGAGAGAGAGAATGGGGTGAGATGGGATGGGATGAGAGGGCGAGAGGGGAGGATGCTGTGCCGATGGTTCATCAAAAATTAATGCCGACTGCATCGGTATAGAGATCACGTAGTGGAAAAACAACACATGCCAACAGCCTTGAGTCTCCTGCCTCAGCCCTCCCTATCTCCCCCACTTCCCCACTCCTTTACCCTGCACCCTTCTTTCGCACCAGCACAGGGCCTTTCTGATCAGGTGGAGGGGGGAGATATGAGCTCTGACACCTTTGAGAGTTCACACAGAGTGCCATGCCTCTAATTGCAGGAAGTTCCACCAGTGCAGCCGCTGTATATCTGCAGCGCTATCCTAATTGCTGCATTTAATATCCCTAAAATGGAGATCTGAGGCGCAATGTGCGTACTAATATGCGTTACAGTTTTGTGTGAGGAAGCCATTATTTCTGTCCATGCCATTTTTTATTTATCTATTACTTTTTTAAAAGGTGAATAAGACATGAGGCAAAAGAAAAACAAAACAAAGAGCGAGGCGTTGCATTTCAATGTGGGTAGAACAAGTGGAGGAGTGGGCATAATACAGAGGTGGTAATACGGTCCAAACTCTGCCCCAAACATACACGACAGGCTGAATTATGCAGCCAAGTTGCCCTTACAGCTGACTAGATGGAAGCGAGGTCTGATGCAAATCAATCACTCTCTCCATACATTATGTGCTCTTCATTAAACTGAAAGTGATGACAGAGCTATCATGTCCCTCTTTACTGATGACCTAGTGCAGTGCATCAGTCCATTAAAAGTCCGCTCCTTGCAAATGTGCAGCTATATTTTCAAGCTGCAGTGTGTGTGTGTGTGTGTGTGTGTGTGTGTGTGTGTGTGTGTGTGTGTGTGTGTGTGTGTGTGTGTGTGTGTTACCTGCTGCGTTGACTCTGTTTAAACCCCTGGGGATGTTCTCTGTCTCCAGGCTTGTTTCATTCACTAAAGGACTCCGAGAACTGTACGGAGACAGAAGACATGGTCAAAGGGGTTATGAGAAAATATACATATATGTACTAAAACTTAATTCAATAAGAGATTACCCATGCTTCACATTAACAAGTCCAAAAATTCAATGACTGACCATTTCAGCATGACAGTGAGAAGACCTAGTGGTACAGAAAGTGGAACGGGCATCTCTGTACTGTGAAAAGTGCCATTAGCAAATGAATCCCTTGTGGCACTGTATCATTTCATATGAAATCTGACAATATCTGTCAAACCCCTACTGTGTTGGCCACACACACACTTCACACACCCAACCCTCAATTCCGTCTCCAAAGCACTTTTCCTCCCACTTAACGCCTCAAACGCACAGACGGAGAATTCGATGTGAGCAAGCACATTAGGAGGAATAACTAGTAAAAGAAAGTGAAGCCTCTTCAAAGTAGTGGCGTGCTAATAGCTGTGGGCTGTCACTAGTCCTGTGAGTGGGTATGGGAGATCTGCCTGCATGAAGCCTGACAGGTGTCTTGAGTGTATACGCCTGTGCACGTGCGCGTGCACTGCATTGAAGCGGAGTGCCATCCGTATTACAGGGAAGAGGCTTGTTCCCTAGTAATTGGCTTGTTCAGAAGCCAGGAAGGAGCTCCCAGCAGTGAGGAGGAAACACACGTCCTGTCACGCTGCTTGTTATTAGCAGGGACAAGGCTGAGAAGAGATGAGACGAGCTCTGTGTGTATGTGTGTGTGTGTATGGGATAGTCCATAAGAGTGTCTGGGATAAGGGCGTACCACTTCTCATCTCAAACCACTTCACCCAAGTGTCCCCTGTCCATATAGGCTGGCAGCAGTGGAGGTTGACAGTACTTGGCTTGTATACTCTCTCTCCTTCCCTCATGGTCTACTTTAGGAGGCCAGCATGCTGTCAGTGGCCCGGCTATCAATTCTGGGCCTGGGGCAGCATGTGCCCTTGGAGGCCGACTCTCAAGAAACTTGTTTGCAATAATGGAAGTAAATGTAAAAGTGCATGTTGTATGCCACAGCAAGACAAAGCTATGCATTACGTTTTCTACTTGCTTTAATTCAACCTGTCCATTTTATCTGTCTCCATTGTTGAAATATGAGTAGGCTTTTCTTAAATCCAGTTGACATTGACTATATACAGGTCTGGTTAGAAGAGATGGAGCTAAAGTAATGACATAGTCAAATGGTTTGAAAAGATAAGCAACGCACAGAGCTTGATTAAGCCAGCAGGAGGAAACCTCAGTTTAATTACAGCTTCCCTTCTGCTAACAGCACTCGCTGCCACGCAGCCAGCCGGCAAGTCAAACGGCCATCTAAACAGTCGGTCAATCAGCCGGCCTGTCAGCTTGGTATGGCTTGGACGTGTGCCCCGATGCCAGCCTGTCTGTTGGTGCAGAAGAAGCACACTCGCCATCTCTCATATACATGACTGCAACAGCTTCAAGTCACAGTAAAGTGGCCTAATGCGTTCTAACAGCCAGAACTAAAAGAAAAAGGGGTCATGTGACTCCTCTCAACCTTTATGACCCACTCTGGTTCTTTTCATAAATCCAATACCACACATCTTTCCAGGATTTTGTCTTGTGTTCCACTGACACTTTAAAAAGGCATATAAAACAGAACTGAAACCATTTAACACTACTACTATTGAAACCGCAATCACATCTGGTCAATTTAAAGCAGCAGATAAGTGCTCTAACAATAAAGATAGTTGATTTCTTACATACAATGTAAAATATTTACATTATTTTACATCATAGTAATTCCAACAACATAGGGAAATGTAGGGTAAATACTTAGAGACTGAAGAGTGTGTCAAGCAACATAAGATGTGTTAATTGATTAGGAGTGTCAACATCATGAATGCAACCATTAAACATGAGGAAACAAGATTTCCTTTTGGTTTCTGTCCTCAATTAACACAGGCTTTGTCATTTTGATGTCATTCTTTCTTTTAGGGTCAAATGATTTTACATGCCCTTTGGCATTTCTTTATCTCACCCGCACAGATCGCATTCCTTGTTTTCTTCAGTTCTTCTCGTGTTTCTGTCAAAATAAACTATAAGCCTTTTAAACTGTGGGGAACGCAGATAGCAGAAAGAGAGTAGTGAGGAAGGGGTAGAGGGGTAGAGGGGAGCTGGTCAGTGCATGAACCAGTAGCCTTCACATGAACCTACTCCCTGGTGACTCCTGCCCTTCTCCAGGCCAAGTACCTGCTGGTGGAACAGCAGATGTCTGATATGGAGTATGGAGAGAGTGTGTGTGTGTGTGTGTGTGTGTGATTGAATTCAGAGAGGGATTTAGTATGCGAGGGCAGATCAAGAGAGGTGGAGAAGGAGGGGTGAAGGCTGCGAGCTGGTGGTCGTAAGGGAAGACAAAAAAAGGCCTGATGGGATATCCTAGTCTGTCTATCTGTTGGCTTCCTGTCCAAATCAGACTGAGCACAGTGTGTGTGTGTGTGCGAGGAGGGGTCTAACCTCCCTTTGCACCCCTCCTGTCAGCCAGCACACACTGATAGGATCAGACCTGGGCATGACCCATCACATGCCAACTCCTCACGCTCCGTCTGACCTCCATTTGCCTCTCTCCAGCTTTCCCTCAGTCCCTCCATTCATGCATCTCTGCTCGTCACCCCCCACCCACCCAACACACACACACACACACACACACACACACACACACACACACACACACACACACACACACACACACACACACACACACACACACACACACACACACACACACACACACACACACACACACACACACACACACCCTCTCTCCAGGTGTTCCTTTGTTCTTTTTACTCACATTTCTCATCGGGCCTGTACATTTTCACCCATTTTGCCTCATGCTGTCTCTACCTTTAAATCTATGGGTGAAAACCTGACAATGGAGGCAATGGAGAGTAAACTGCTGGTTGAGTAGTTCTGTTATTTTAGACACACACAAGCCAACAAAAGCCAACAAAGTGAATGAAAGACAGATACAGCTAATTTAAGAGGATAAAAGACAGTGGAAGATTTTATTACACTGCCTCTCTGAAATCTGACCAGCAACATGTATGCTGTTACACACCCAAGAAACCAACTTTTGGGGAAGCAACAAGCCACAATGATAGAGAAGGTAACGACTGGATTTGATACTGTCTCAAAAACAAGGTTAGGCAGTTAGAAATGTGCAAACACTCAAGGTTTTCTGCCTGTCTCAATCTAAAGCTGTGTGTGTGCTTTTTCTGACCACCTAAAACACTGACTAACAGCAGCGGGAACTGGAGAGAAGAGCAATAGTCTTGTAATAAACTGCATAGACTGCCATTTGGACATCACAGGCTGATCTTCAAACATAAGTAAATTTACTAGAGACAGGGTCAAAAATATGTTTAAGTTGGTTTAAAATGTATTCAGTGTCTTAGGCTATTGGCCCTTGTGTAGCCCCCACCTCTGCATGTACGTCCTCACATGTTCTACTTCAGGCTCTGTGAAAATGTAACTGAGAGACTAACAGTGGTATAGACAGACAGCTGTGTGTAACTGACCTGCAGCTGTGCGAGGTGGGTCCAGTCCTGAGGCGAGCACCAGTGGGACTGTGAGCCAAACTCCCCAGAGCAGGCAGGTAGGACAGCACCTGTCAGAAGTCACGCAGACACACGCACACACAAGGTTATACAGTGTCTTTATGCTGCAAGAGGATGTTTGTGTGTCTTCAGGGGACTGAGGAGGCACGAAGACATCAACCGTGAGTGAGAAAGCCAGATGTTCTACTGCAATGTAATACAATGGGTAGACCACAACCGCCATCTTTTTCTCTGCAGCAGAGAACTGTAATAGAATCTATAGCAGTGTTCACACTGCCAAGTTAACTGATGCAGAACATCTGTGTTTCATGTCTTTTAACCATAACACAAAATCACAGTAGAAAAAGGAAACAATTAAAAATAAATTATAGAAATAATTAAAACCTTTATAATATGTCATATGTCACATAAAAACAATAACAAAGACAAAGTTTGATGACATAGTGAAGTAGTGTGGGATAATGGGAGTTGTTGTCTTAACCACCACTGCAGTCAGCTTCTGCTGGTTAGGATTCCTTCAGCGTTTATCGTTCAGGAGGTTTCTATCAGGAGCTGAATTATCCGCAGAAGTCTCCTCCTCTCCGTAACAAATGGACCCGGTGATTAAAACCAGTGGAAACACTGAATAAAGTAGTTTCACCATAAAAATCAGTGTTTCTCCGACGCTGTTCGGAAGACAAATCATGTTCCGGAAGGCCTGCCACATGAGCTCCTGCTTAACTTAAGATCCAGACATCTGATGACTAAAACCCTTAATCCGGTTAAAATATATAGTTAAAAATGACCAAAATCGATCACAGAAATGTGGCATAAAACTGGATTAAAAGTCAATTTAGGACAGCTTCTGGCAGAGAACCACAACAGTGATGCATGAACAAAGGAGATATGACGCTACTAACAGGGGAGCAGTGAGAAGCACCGTTACCTGAATAAAATTACGCATTTCTCTGGGTTTGAACATTATTGGAAATATTTTGGATAAAAGTACACAGCTCAACAAAAATATAAGATAGACTTAGTGTTTGTAGACTTTTCAATGCGGATATGTTACATACGTATTATAGTTAAGTAATTTCCCCAAGGGGATTATTAAAGTATTAAAGTATAAAGTAAAGTAAAGTATAAGTAAGTAGTTTTTATATGAGTACTGTATTTTGTTTTCTCAATCACTTTATTTGCAGTGTTTTTACTAACATTGGTGCATGTGTTTGTAGTTTTATCAGAATTTTAGGATCTTGCATGCTCTTATTTTCCCAATTCACTTTGAAAACGAAGGGATTTTTCCAGTACATGAACTGAACATTGCTACACATGGAGTATTCTGTTGGAGCCCATTTTGACATTGTGTAAAACTTAACATTTTACATATCATTCAATGCCTTCATGACTTAACAAACTAATCAGCACACGACTGTTGTGATTCCCAAAAGTAAGAAGTGCCTGCCTCAAATTATGACAAAGCCTGTCATGAATACAAGACTGATGAAAGCAATGAGGTTTCCCGTGGGTAAGTAATGGGAAATTGAGTGAAGAACAAGAAACAAACACACACACACACACACCATTTTCTTGAGAGAGAGGCGTTCATCTCCAACTGTGAATCCATTTCTGCAGCAAAGACTCCTGAATGTCGCATCAGCCATCACCAGCTTCAGTCTGGTAGAACGAATCCTGACAACCAGCTCTGCCACAACTACCGGAGACACATCTACAGGACAAAATATGTTGATACCATACTGTCAGTGATGAATTAAATGACTAATTTAAAGAAAAAAGTACAATTTATTAACATTTGTACTTGAAGACTTTTACTGTCTTCTTGTGACTAAAACTCAAACTAAGACTTAAAAAAAAAGGTACAGCTATAAACCTAAGGCCAACATTTACACACAAGACATATAACTGCAAAACTTTTGGGGGAACTGAAAACAGATATTCTTCCTATGATGCACTTTCTATTTTTATTCCATACCTTGGCTGATAACAGCAAAGTGCTCTGCAAAGTCTTTTAGGCCCTTTTCCACTAGGTTCTGGTTCAGTTTGAAATGCTGCTGACACCAGAACTCCACCAGCACGGACAGGAGGTCCAGCAGGGTGTCTGCCAAATGCAGCTTCTGATTCTCACCCCTCTCAGTGTAGTCCTTCAGTGAAAATAAACAACATCACAGTATGGAGTTAGCAAGCTCCATGAGTAGGCGTAACTCTTTTTTTTTCTGGTCAGATCACAAATCTGACCCAAATGGTGATTTTGTTGGGCGATGTAACATGCCATCCAATGAGAATGAGTTTCACAGTATTTACCTCGATGGCAGCCTGTACTAAGAGATGAGTTAGTTGTTTCACAGCTCGGGACAACAGCGTGGAGCGCTCCCACACAGTCCAGAAGGTTCCATACAGCAAAGATCCTGAAGTTGAAGCCTGAGAGACTCCTGTTCCCTCAGGCAGCACAAAATCCCTGGCCCAGAGAAAGGCAGAGAAAGGAAAGGATGACTGAAGGAAGAATAGACCATTTAATGTAACTAATAAAATCATTTATTGTAAGAACAAAAACAGTGGCATAAACTTAATCATAATTTATTATTATATAATTTAGCAGTTATGCAATTTAGTATCAGCAAATAACTGTTACTTGAGGCTATTCCAATGAAATGCAGGCACACGCAAATGGAAAAATACATATAGTTTCATTCAAGTCTTCTTATATATGTTAAAAATAGACTCAAGCCAGCAGTAGGAGTACGCTTCCTTGTTATAAATTAAAACGAAAAGTCTGAATGAAAACACCTCTGTGCTGCAGTACACACCAGCTAGAATACAATTAATTGTTAAGGTTTTCTGGAATAGGTATTCATATTTATTATGTTTATTGATAAACAGAAAGAAGACTATACATTTAAAACAAACAAAAAGAGACTGCCCTACAGTATCTCCCACACCGTATATATCTAAGTTGTTACCCGGGGGTGATAGAGAAGAGTTCCCCCTGGAAGAGTTTGAGGACAAATCCCAGGAGGTCACTATGGAAATGTAACAGCGTTGGCAGGGCAGGTCCAGGGAGTGGGTGACAAGTGAACTCACTAGACAGGCAGTAACTGAAGGAATACACACATACAGAGAAACAGTAAATATACAATACATTATTTTTACATATTACTACACCTGTAGTATAACTGCATATTTACATAATGTGGTTACTTTTAGTTCAAACAAGGTTTTAAAGGGATACTATGCAGGATTTGTCCATTGCAGTTTGTAACCGCACCATTTACGGTTGGCTCTTCCTCCGCCACTCGAGTGACAACTGAGAGGGATATTTGTAAGTCTATACATTGTTTTTCAGGAAAATCCTGCATAGTATAGTACAGTAAGTGTATGTTTAAAGTGCAATTAAAAATGTCAAACTATTTGCAGGAATCACTTGACAAGAAATCTTATGTGACATCAGTTTTACCTAATGGCTGTCTCTAGAAAAGGCCACAGTCCTGTCTTACACCGAGGACACTGCAACACCTGGGCAAAATATTTTTTTACTGTGCTAGGAGCCAGCCAGGGAGGGTTGGTAACGAGCAGGTTATACATGACCTGCTGGAAATTCGTCAGGAAGACAGATGTGGCGTTTCCCTGTGACATAATGAACAGAAAGGAATAGAAGTTTGAGTGGTTCGGATATTCTGATGTACAGTAAGAATGTCAAGTTACAGTTTAGTGATCCAAAAATATTCTACCAACTACTACTAGAATTCAAAAAAATGTATGTATATAATGAGACAGGTTACACTTTCATGCAGCCCCTGAGGCTCATGCAGTAGCAGGTGGGAATTTTTACAGTCAGGTAATTCTGGTCCTACCTGCTGTGCGTACTCTAAGAGGGAGACCAGGTACGGCGCTGGTGGCAGCAGGCCAGGGAACACTGCACTTCTGATTGAGTCCAAGGCTTCAATGAAGAGCCCACACTCTATCATGCTACCAACATTGCTGAAGTCTGTTTCTGTTGCCTGGAGGAATAAAAGAACAATGATGAAACGTAAGAGGTATATGGAAAAGAGGAGAAAACACTGCAGTCAAAGAGATGGACGGTCGAATGAGGAGAAAAAAGGAAGGGCAGGAGGGTAATGGAAATGGGAAGTGGATGGGCATCAAAAGTTCCTGGAGGTCATTTCTGACAGACTGTTACTGGCAAATAGCATATGGATTCAGAAAGTACAAAATGGAAATACCCGAGCACTTATAATAGCAATCTGATGGAGATCCACTTGGGTAAGGTATGGACAGGACAGAGGAGAGTATTGTTAATAGGTCTGCCAATCAAAACTCTCAGATTAGCTGACAGTGGTGGTTAAATTGGTGACCTACGTATGATGCGCCCTTGCTCTAGATGTCACTTTCCATTGAAATGTATGACATAAAAGGAAATTGAATGACCTGATCTTCTTGATGAAACATAGTTATTTTAGAGATGTACAGTAGCGATCAGGGATTTGTGGGGGATGTACGCACGTCTACCTGGGACTGTGGACGGTACGGGTCGTGGTAACCCAGAAATTCAAGGAAGCACAGTCTGGGCCGGCCCTACAGGAAAAGACCCCATTAGCAATGTCAAATACATACAACACAGCCACAAAAGTTCATTCAAGTGAACAGAATGTAAACCAACAAAAAGCGTCTACAGTGATGACTAGAAACTACGCTTCAGTGCTTCTCTGCAACAAACAAACAAACACACACACACCTCCTGTTTGATGACATAGTCCCTGAGCTCTGTCTCCAGCTTAGAGAAATCAACATCAACAAAATTGGCCTTCTTCGTCTCAGCTGGATGATCATCCGTTATGTTGAACTTCATATCCACACACTTGCTCTGCCAAAGAAAAAATAAAGGTGGACAGTTCAAAACTTTTAAACTAAATTTCTAAAGCCAGTATTCCTAAATTTAAAAATAAAGCTTTTATATAAATTGTTTAGTCATAGGTTTGAGCAATCAGAAGCATTTGGTACTGACTGCACATATAACTGACACAGCACCACCACCACCACCACCGATAATCAATTAAGACCATATCTTTTGCATAAATTACTCAGACTTACCCCAAAGAGGTGCTGGACAATGTGGCTTACAGGGTAGCAAGGAGCATTGTGGGATATTGAGTCTTCTGTGATGGGTTTAGCCATGACATGAGTAATAGAGGCATGAGAAGGAGGAGGGTAGGGGTATACTTTGGCCCTGCCTGCTTTTAGGAGCCTAGGAAAGATCAAAGTCAATTCAGTATCATATCACATGCAACAGTTTATTCATACATTACGTGGATGGGTTGTTGTGATTGGTGGTAAAATATCTTTGTGGGACTCCTCACCGTTTGAACATGGCCCTGCGGGTTGGCTCTTGGACCATGAGGAGAACCCTCCAGCCCTGGAAGGCCCCTGTTAGCTTCCCACGGGCCACCTTCTCCCTCCACTGCCTGACAGGGTAGAAGGCAGACGTGCTACATGTGGAAATAGCAACTTCATAGGGTCCCTCTGCAAGCCAGGAACCATTCTTAACACTGTCCAGCACATAGTCGGGAGTCACAACCCACTTTCCTGTTGGAGGAGGAAGCAAACGAAAGGGAGAACAGTTGTGATGTGTCAGTCTTGGGACTTTAAAAAAAGGAAATCAGCTGTAAAGTGAAGTGAACCATCATCAATATAATAATCATCATCACTGACCTGCAGCACAGGCCGCCAAAAACTTCTCACTGGATAAAACCTGAGGGATTATGAGATGAGTGCTGCCGTGCTGATAGACCTACAAAATGATCACTGCATCAGTCTACGGACATGTACAGGAACACACAATAACAAATGGCATACAAACCTACAAGATTATCTTTAATCTTGTAGGTGGGGCTTGGTTATATGGTTAAAAATAAAATAAAAACAATCCAACTGATGCTCTTTGAAAAGAATTGTGTTCCACTAGTATGTATTATTTGAAGCAAAACTCTTGTGCGTCACATAAAATTAACAATTGAAAGTTGCTTGAAATCATTTATTAGAATAACAGAATTTTGTATAAAATAACACAATGAGTCTATAAATAATATCAAATTGTCTCCTAATCTCACTCGTAGGCCAGTCCCGATAATTACGTTATCGACTTAACGTGCAATACAGACAGTATGTAATTATCTGCTGTCACAATATTGACTTATCGCATGATATATGGACAGGATCTTGATCATTTTTGCAGGACCTAATTTCACATTCCAGTTTCAATGTCTGAATATTCTTAAGAATTAAAAGTTCATTGCTGTTTGAATACTAACCTTTTCAAAGGTTTTTTCTGTAATAACACATAAGAGAAAGATGATACCAGTAATACAGTAAAACCATATCAGCAGTAGAGTCTGTAATCACACATAACTATCATATAGGTTGTGAAATCAACAGTAGTAAATCAGTTGAAAACCTCCAAAGAACATACGTACATCGACAGAGAGAGGAACTGCTGTCAACCAGAGGGAACATTTTCCAACAAAACAAAGGACCACAGTATTTTGTGCCTATGCAGGACAATTAACTAAAGATCTATGAATCATATGATAATGGTAGTCCCTGTGAATGAACAGAGTTCAGCGCCACTGTCTGTGATTTACTTATTCATTTACAATTGGCAATAGAATTACATTCCTTAACATGAAGTGGCTGCCATATGAATTAAAAGAAGACTGAAAGCCTTGTGGCATGAAACCACATTTAGGCCCGAAGGCGCGCTATTAGCAAGACAACCACCCTAGGGCTCCGTGTAGTTGTTGTTGTATAACGTTACTAATCCCACAACGGGGAAATTCCCTTGTCACAGCAGCATGTACGTGAAATAAATAAATACAGATATAAAAAAAACTATGGTAAAGTGGTAAAGCTATAGTATGGTGGTCATTTGAAAAACATAAACTACGACATTGATCAGGTGTTGTAGAGTCTGACAGCGGCAGGGATGAAAGACCTGCGGAACCTCTACTTCTTACACCGTGAGTGTAACAGTCTGCTGCTGAAGGAGCTATTCAGGGACCACACAGTGTCATGTAGGGGGTAATATATAAACTTAACGCCTGCCTGTGGTCAAACAAGATTCAGTCGCTGGATTTCTTGATCAACAGTACATTAATTGGACTCAGCTTTGATTTTTGTTAGTGAACATGTTATTCTTTTCATTTGCTGGTTTATCACAATGCGAGGAGTTGCTTGGATTCCTTTACGTGGGTTAGGGTACGTTGCTGGTGAGACTGGCAGTTGTTTAATTTGTTTGACATCTCATAGACTGAATAACTATCAATAAATCAGAAAAAAGTAAATTAAGCTGTAAGCTGTAGCCTATAGGTTAAAGTGCATTTGCCATTTTCCCTAAAATGTATGTTGAGGGATCTGTACTCACTGAGCCACCTATGTACTTTCCACCCAGCTGCTGGATTCCATGGACCAGAACTCTCTTCTTCTCTTGGATCTTGATCCCAGAGATCTGGAAAACAGGCGTGAAGCTTGCCATCTTGACGAGAAAATTGCAGTAGAGACAGAATGCGGGTTAATATGCAAGTTATATCTTGAGCATTGACTGTATATGTAGGTCTTGGGTGAACTCCTGCAACTCACTGAGGAACACAGTCTTGCATTTCTTGTTTGACAACATGACTTGGATTGCTTTCAATTAACTGTTGGCAAAAAACTGGAAGGGGCGCTTTTGCATTGTTTGAACTACACAACATGATACTTTGTGTTGTTTGGGAATTTCACTTGACTAAGCCAGTTAATTACACAGTCTGGGCTCAGGCTACTTAAAAACAAAACAATATGGATGTGCAACTTATTGGAATATGAATTGCTTTTTTTATGACATTGTATCTTTACAGTATTATAACCTACACTGCCTCTTGCACATTCATCAGCATTGCAATTCACAGCTGACTGATGTCCAGATTATTTCTCATACCACAGAGGATGACTCCTTGTCCTCCCAGTTACGTACAGGCGCGCCAAAACACTGACGCTGACATCGACGTCCAACAGCGTGAGCAGTGCTTTGTACCAATATTTGGCTGCTTCTTCCAAAAATATGCTCAACTTCGCGAACAGGCATAAATGCCAACTTTCCTCATTAGCATTAATAAACGCTCAATAGGTATAACATCCGTACGTGAGTTCACCGCCCAACTACCATGCCTTGACAGCTTGACGGCATAACTATGTGGGGAGGGGAGTTACGCCACATAGTAATATGTTTTGGACTCATGCGCAACGTTAAAACGACTATATCTTCGATGGATAAGACTTAAAAGGCTATTAAAATATAAGTCATACAAGATGTTTTCTACTATTCAAAAAACACGTATATTTCTGTCACAAAAGACTACTTTACACCCCCACTCGGTTTGCCAGTTGGAATATTCCATCGAGCGGAAGTTTTCATAGATCTACTTCCAGGTTGTTGTCACGGACGCTTTCTGTCCCCGGAAATAACCAAAATAACTGGATATCCTACAGCACTGATTGATTAACGGGGATATCTGATCGATCGACAACAAGGTTTTGATTGTGACAGAGGGACATCTCATGAAATCGCTCGGCCGCTTACGGCTTCGATTTACGTTCAGTGACAGCGATTGATAAGCCTTCCATCACAGTGACTTAATGAATACGTGGTGACATATGTGCCGTTGAATTATCTTGTTTTGACCGTTTTCTTACATCTACAAGAAAGCAGTCGTAGACACATGTCAGTAATAAGTGACAGCATATGGCGCTGGTCAGAGTTCCCCTGCCTGTAATGGATTAACACTGAGTGATTGAGCAAACGGGAGACGAATAGGAGTTCGCAAAAGGTAAGATACAACAAATTACACGTGTTGCCGCTCAGTAAGTAAGTAACACAGAATCAGTCCAGGTGTTTGTGTTACATTGGTGGCCCTGTGAATCCACCACATGCTGTAAAAACATACAAACTGGCAATGTCAGCGAGTGCAGGTGCAGTGCTTTGCTATGCAGGGATCAGCTGCGGTGATCTAATGGGTTTGTATGCGTCTGATCACATGGCCAAACACCATGACATGGATGTCAACAGCTCTTATAGCCCAGGGTGGCCTGACATTTGACATGTGTTGCCAAAGCACAATTACTATAATAATAATAATAATAATAATAATATAATAATAATAATAATAATAATAATAATAATATTAAAGAACAAAATTGACAAAAACAATGTGAATACAAATAGTGAAAAAAAAATAGATAAATGAAATGGAATAATATGTATATACAGTATAAGTAATCGAGTTATTATTCAATCAAATCAAGTAATTAAACTAAAACTGACAAATAAAACAAACAAGCAATCAAACAAATGAAGAATGATGATCGAAACTATAGAAACAAAAATAATAACACCAATAACAAAAAACCATTGAAAAAATATTATAATTATAATATTAATTAAAATTTAAAAAATAAGTCAATAAAGAGTTTTTTTCTAATGTAAGGAAAAACTAATTTTTATTTATATATTTGGAACATGAGTTGAGGAAGTGTAGCTCTGTTTCTACCCGTCCTCTGTCACACTGGGAGGAGAGTCTCTCCTTCCCTGTAAGCCAGCTCTGTTTATTTCTCTCTCTCTCTCTCTCTCTCTCTCTCTCTCTCTCTCTCTCTCTCTCTCTCTCTCTCTCTCTCTGTCTGTCTTTCTCTCATCTATGTGTTATGGTTAACACCAAATACACTACAAGTATTGAAATATTCAAATGAGCAATGAGAAACGTTATCAAGCCCTCGTGCAGAAGTGTCTTTAGTTTAGAATTGATATTCAGTTAATCATTAACTGAGTAATCATTTAAGTCAGGGGTCTCAAACTCAAATTGGCTTGGGGCCACCGTTGGTATTGTCATCACATAGGAGGACCACTTCAGTGTTCATGTACTACAAGAAAGTACAATATTCTCAAGATATTAACATTAATAATGTCATACTTAGCAAAAAACAGGCCCAGAAATGGAAGAGTCCATTAATTTAAGTCATAAGTGAAACAAAAATACCAAATATTTGCTGGGTCAACTTTCTCAAATGTGATGATTTGCCACATTTTTCTGATTAATACTATTGACAGTTTTGGTTTTATGCCAAATGCCACCATAAAAGCAAATGAAAGTCAACAGCTTTGACTATATGAAGATGTGTTGCATTAATCTATTAACATATATTTGTTGTTAATACTAGAAAGATTTAAATGTTACCAAATGAGAATCTAATTTATTTTTTAGCTCCAGTGTTGAAATGATAGATGAATAGAATGATGATGATAGTTGACAGTTTATTATCCGTTGATATCAGAAACAATTGACATAATCAGCTGATAAACATAAAAGTCATAGATGAAGAAAAAACACCAAATATTCACTTACTCCAGTTTGTCAGATGTGATGATTTTATGCTTTCCTTTCTTTTATTCTGCATTAATGGAATACCTTTGCATTGTAGGCCGCTGGTTGGACAATACAAGAAGTTAATTGATTTCACTCAAGGGACTGATCTGAAATGGGGCGTTTTCCGCTATTACCTGAGAATTCTCAGACCATCACTTATGAGAGATTTATTCATAATACAAATACTTGTTAGTTGCAGCACTATACAGTTTACAATGTATTGATATATTTACTTTGTAAGTGATCATTTTTCATTACCTGTGCAGTTATCAAATACAACCATGCAACCTTTATGTGGTTGATGTGTGTCATTTCCCCCAAAGTGCATGTGTAGGATTAGAGTATTTAAGGTTACTTAAATCATGACAGTTGGGACGCAGTAAGCTACACAATATGAACTACTCCATTGTGACAATATTGTTTTGTTTTCCAATAGTTGTAATTGACTCATTGCTCAGGGTACTTTAATACTGTTGAATGATGATGATAATTCCACTAAACAGCAATGACAAGTAATATCAGGATTAAGTCATGTATTATTCATTCCCTCAGTGTAGGCTAATCACATAGGCATTAGTTGTGATGATGCCAAGTTGTTGCACTGCAATTTCAGGAACAGTCTTACAAAACATACTTTAAGAAGCTGTTATGTCCACTTATTTCCCTGTAGTAAAGAAAGGAGGTGACCAATATATTTTAACAAGATTAGTGCCTCCTAAATTGAGCTGAACTATCACTATATCAAATCTGACGAGACTAAAGCCCATCACTAAACATACAGGACTTATTGTAAAGAAGAAAATCATTCAAAAGCAGTACAGTGCAGCAGGACTACATGGTTTAACAGTAACCGTGAAGCCAGGCTCCCCCCTGGGCATGCATGAGATAGCTTTCAGCAGTGTTGTGATCTTACAATATTCACCTATTTAATTTATTATGTTTCCTTTACAGCCGACTGTTAGGTACCCCCTTTAAAATAATGTTGACTTTAACTTGACATGCTCTAAGTGGCTTTAAAGCGGCAGCCTGGGGGACGTGCTGCTAAATATTTCAGGACAAACTCATTACTGTAAATGGGCCTGTGTGTTAGCCTAGCTGGGGTAGACAGGCAGCAGCAAGAGAGATAGGACAGTGATGTGTGTGAGTGTGTGAGTATGTGTGTGAGTGTGTGTGTTTCTTCCCCTGTTCTAATAGCTGTGGAGCCAATGTCTCAGGCAGGCAGCGTCTCAGCGCCTGGCCCAGTTGTCCCTGCTGCAACACTGTGAAACACACAGGAGCTCCTCCAACATCTGCTTTTTAAAGAGCTAATGACAAGACAATGGAGACCAGATGATTTAAAGTCTAGTACTAATGAGGCCCTGTGTGCTGCTTGGAGAATCCTGACACACTCACACTTACATGTACACACTCATGCTTAAGATAACAGATGATATGTTGGCAGACCAGGAGGTAGACACCCAGCAGACATACAGTGTACACATTCAGACCTTCAGTCCATCTGTTTGTCTGTCTTTCATACACATAAAGAGAAGTATGGTGTTGTAGATGGCATGGTTATAAACAGATACTATTCAAAATCACATGCACACACACTGTCTGGCCCATATAATTACAATGTTGAGTTCCTAATCCATGGATTTAAAATCTTCTTCCCTTTTAGCAATGTCTGCTGTATAGACCCCTTCTCAGACAGTGGCGCAGAGGGAGCGTGATGATGAGGGGAAACAGTAAGAGAGAAGAAGAGAGGGAGAAATAATAAAGGACAAGCTTAACTGGTGAGGCTGTCAGCGAAGGAAAATAATATTTGTCCAGCTGGACAGGCCTCCCTTTGTGCAGGCTAAATGAATGTTGAGCTTCCTGTCTGCCCTGTCAGGGAGAGTGGCATAGACTGTATGCAGCAGCGAAGAAGCGGAGTGCGGGGAGCTGTTTGGAGTTTGACAGGGATTATTAAAATCAGAGCAGATGACGAGGAAAGGGGCGAGAGGCGGAGTGTGAGAAAGCCAAATTGACACAGACACTCTCCATTACCTTCCACTTGACTTGCGTTGATGACAATGTTGATATGAGACCCAGCAACGCAGCACCGGCGTGGGATTGGCTGTTAGCATGAGCGTTAAGCACCATAGGGTAGGGGGGTGGCCCTCAGTTCTGGCAGAGACGTAAGGAGATGAGATGTTTATTTAAAGCCTCGACTGAAGAGCATCTCACCTCATTGTTTATTTATTTGGTCTTTTTTTTTTTTTTTTTTTGCTGTGTTAACTCACTGTAGTGTCAGTAGGTGGAAGTGGTTAGAGGCTGAGGCAATGCATTTTGATCAGGGGGTACTCTTTCTCTAAATGACTTTCTGAGGAAAGTGGAGGGGAGCTGGAAGAAACTGTTTTTGTTGATGATAAGCTTCCCTTTTTTCAGGTGTTTCAGGTGCAATTGATTTGTGCCTCCTAATAAGACTCCTGTTGGAGGAAATTTCAAATTATTGTAGACCACATGAGTGTGTGTGTGTGTGTGTGTGTGTGTGTGTGTGTGTGTGTGTGTGTGTGTGTGTGTGTGTGTGTGTGTGTGTGTGTGTGTGTGTGTGTGTGTGTGTGTGTGTGTGTGTGTGTCCAGAATATGCATGTGTGTTCAGTTTCTTGACAGACAGCTGTGATAATACAACACTTCAGATGTCTGTTATTTGGTGTCATCCTAAATTGTTGATTTAATCCTGACACCAGTGCTGTCTTTCCCATTATTTTGTTTTATGAACTGGTACATGTCAC